TAAGGAAACTAACAAAGAGATACATGCAATGTAAAAATATTTAATACTCCCATAACATGTGATTTTTGAAATTTTTAAAAGTTATAATGATTTTTTGATGAAGATAAAATTCAGTTGAAGCTTTATAAGTAATTGTATTGACAAAACTTTATGTAGGTATACTTTAAGCTGGATAAGAAAAAATACTACAAGTAAAATATTAGATGGAGTATACTGTGGTTTTATTTAAATTTTAGAATTTATAAGGTTATTTATACCTAATGATTGTTCGATGTAGATAAAATTTTGTCGAAGCTTTTATAGGTACTTGTATTGACACTATGGGTAAATAAGCTGACAGTGTAAGGAACTTTAAGAAGGTTAGCTATTGAATTTTTAAAAAGAATTTACAGTTTTTTAAAATTAAGTATCTAATGGTTTTATATTTGAAATGTTTAATATTGCTTATTTCCAAGAGCCAGTTGTTCAATTATGATGTCTATTTTGTTTTACTCCGGCATAAATATTTTCAACTGTAAAACTTAACTATTTTAAGATTTTTAAAATTAATTAAATATATAAAGGGGTTAATTTTAAAGAAGTACGAAGGCGTAGAAGGGCCAACAACAATATTTTTTTTTTTTTATAAAATTTTTAATCGACAATTGTCGATCGGACCGACAATTGTCGATCGGACCGACAATTGTCGATCGGACCGACAATTGTCGATCGGACCGACAATTGTCGATCGGACCGACAATTGTCGATCGGACCGACAATTGTCGATCGGATCGACAATTGTCGATCGGATCGACAATTGTCGATTGGACCGACAATTGTCGATCGGACCGACAATTGTCGATCGGATCGACAATTGTCGATCCGATCGACAATTGTATATATACAGGGTGTTTTACATTCGTGGCCCATTAAAAGTTTCTGGGAAACGAAAAAAGATATCGATTTGAAATTTTAAAAGCGTTTATAATCCATTTAAGTCTATTTTTCTATAATAATTTGAACAAAATGCCACTTCCGGTTAAACCAGATCAACTTAAATATTATTAATATTATTTTAAAAAATTTCGAATTATTAATATTTAAACACTTAATTAGTTAACAAATTGTTTATAACAACCTGAAAAATTGACGCGATTAAATTTTACAAATTACGTGGTAACCATAGAAACCAGTCTCTGATAGAAACCGTCAACTCACCCGTCACAGGTTTCGTGATACAAAATATTATTTAAAATTTTAAAAACTGTTTAATAGGTATCTCCAAAATTATTAACTTTAGGTATAGAGAATGGTAACATCAATCGAGTTTTTTAATTTACTATTTGAATATGTAAAAACATACAAAGTGTTACATTTGAAATAAAAAAAGTTATTAGCCTTCAATTTGGCCTAATTTTTTTAAGATTCCAAAAATTCAAACCCTATATTTGCAAACCTCATAACAAAAAAGTTATAGGCTATTTTTGATTGACGCGCATTTCTTAAATTTTAACGAAAAATAATAATAATTCAAAAAATATTCACTTCAAATTTCAAATCAATATCTTTTTCGTTTCCCAGAAACTCGATTAATGTTACCATTCTCTATACCTAAAGTTAATAATTTTGGAGATACCTATTAAACAGTTTTTAAAATTTTAAATAATATTTTGTATCACGAAACCTGTGACGGGTGAGTTGAAGGTTTCTATCAGAGACTGGTTTCTATGGTTACCACGTAATTTGTAAAATTTAATCGCGTCAATTTTTCAGGTTGTTATAAACAATTTGTTAACTAATTAAGTGTTTAAAAATTAATAATTCGAAAATTTTTAAAATAATATTAATAATATTTAAGTTGATTTGGTTTAACCGGAAGTGGCATTTTGTTCAAATTATTATAGAAAAATAGACTTAAATGGATTATAAACGCTTTTAAAATTTCAAATCGATATCTTTTTTCGTTTCCCAGAAACTTTTAATGGGCCACGAATGTGAAACACCCTGTATATATACAATTGTCGATCGGATCGACAATTGTCGATTCGATCGACAATTGTCGATCCGATCGACAATTGTCGGTCCGATCGACAATTGTCGATCCGATCGACAATTGTCGATCCGATCGACAATTGTCGGTCCGATCGACAATTGTCGGTCCGATCGACAATTGTCGGTCCGATCGACAATTGTCGATTAAAAATTTTATAAAAAAAAAAATATTGTTGTTGGCCCTTCTACGCCTTCGTAAAGAAGGAATCTAAAAACAACACCTTAAAATTATTAAAATTTGCAAATTATTAAATAATTTTAAATAATGTTTTTTATTATTTTACAAATTTCCAAACTTATTTTTTTTCTATATGTGAGTTTTTGAACTTTTATCGATTTTAGATTCTTTAAATTTTTATTTAAAATATATTATTTTTTGTTTATTTAATTAATCAAAGACGTTTATATGTATTTTCTTAAAATTATATTTAAAATTAAATTGTCTCATTATTTATGAACACCATGTATAATTCTTAATTATATAATTACAAAATAAAACTAATAATATTTTACATACACACATATACATATATACAATATAATTTATTATGTAGGTACTATATTACCTAATCGGGCTCACTGATCCTGATGAGTGTTATATTGAACTAAATAAGGTATACCTATACTTATAAGTAATATCTTTATCAATACAAAAGGATGTGTGTCATTAAGGTTACTTGTATTAATTTAGTAATTATAAATATATATAGACCCCCAAATAGTAATTTTAAACTATTTTTGGATGTCTTGGAAAAAGTTTTTAATGATTTAGGTGTGTCTACAAAAATTGTTGTAACAGGTGATTTTAACGTAAATTTTACCCATTTTAGTAATTCTACTTTTTTATTTATTATTGTTAGATTTATTTTTGTTCATTGGTTTCAAACAACTATTTTATTTACCTAGTCAAAATTCAAATTGAAAATATTTATGCCGGAGTAAAACAAAATAGACATCATAATTGAACAACTGGCTCTTGGAAATAAGCAATATTAAACATTTCAAATATAAAACCATTAGATACTTAATTTTAAAAAACTGTAAATTCTTTTTAAAAATTCAATAGCTAACCTTCCTAAAGTTCCTTACACTGTCAGCTAATTTACCCATAGTGTCAATACAAGTACCTATAAAAGCTTCGACAAAATTTTATCTACATCGAACAATCATTAGGTATAAATAACCTTATAAATTCTAAAATTTAAATAAAACCACAGTATACTCCATCTAATATTTTACTTGTAGTATTTTTTCTTATCCAGCTTAAAGTATACCTACATAAAGTTTTGTCAATACAATTACTTATAAAGCTTCAACTGAATTTTATCTTCATCGAAAAAATCATTATAACTTTTAAAAATTTCAAAAATCACATGTTATGGGAGTATTAAATATTTTTACATTGCATGTATCTCTAAAAGTTGTTAGTTTCCTTATAATCTAACTTAAAGTAGGGATCCCGAGGTATGCACAAGTTTTGTTGTTAGGAGTATAAAAGCTTTAATTTAATTTGAACCATATTCAACAATTATTTAGTATATCTATATTTATATGACCATATTAACACACTCTTCCAAATAATCCAAAATACTTATTTATTTTGATCAAAATAGATTTTTCTAACCTTAAAATTTCAAAATTAGATGATATTTTTTGTTATAATATATTAACCTACCTTTGATACAGATATTCTTATTCTATAATAAACAAGCTAAATTTTTTTAATAAATGCCATTTAGTTAAAACTATTTAATGGATAAAACCAGATATATGTAGACCAAATGCACAAAAATTTTACTTATTTGGCACTATACACTTTAGAATTTCATTAAATGCAGTATTTATACTCCTAAACTCTTAAACCAACCATTGTTACTGTGCTACTATAAAGATTTATTAACTTTTAACGCTTAAACATAAATGGTAACAGTATAAATATTATTTCTTGCATTGACTATACTTTGACAGATACATAACCTGAAAAGCCTTAAATGACAATTTATCAAAAGACTGCGTTCCGTACTTGGTCACGTGGTGGGACTTTGAAGTGTGGAGCATAGTACATAGGAAGTAAACATTAACCTACAATTAAAAAAAAAATTGTAACGTTCGAAACATTTTTGGAGAAAAATCGATGTTTCTGTCCATTTTTAAAAAATTTCATTATAGTGAACAAAACAAATTTAAGAAAAAAGAAAAAATACGGGTCTCATCGATTTCGGTAAAGAAACTGGAAAAAAAAAATTCGTTAAAAAATATCGACATCCATGATAGGCTATCATTGATAGCACACTTTATTCTAAGAATGTTTTTTAAACCTAAATAACGACCTATCCCTTTTTACCTAGTCGATTTAAGATGGAATAAACCATAAATAATATTTATTGAGTATGGCGATTTATGTGTTTTTTTAAATCACCGATATTCGTAGTTTTATGATTACAGAGGTGGCAGGAATGCACTTTGGAGGTTATGATATTTCTATTGGATTCGTTCAATAAATCTGAATGCTTGATCAAAATGTGGTTGTCCAAATTGTATTTTTGGTTGCTTTCTTTCGGACAAAACAAACATTTAAATTCTTTTTTTTTATTATGGATTTTTAGGTGACTGTTTAAGTGAAATTTATGAATGGTTTTGTAGTGGCACAGGTGACATTTATATTGTTGTACGTTTTCCAATTTTAAACAAACCTTTATGTGAGTTTTATGGCTTGTTTCATAAACACTTGAGTATGAACAGTTAGGGCACTGGTAGATTTTACTGGTTATTTTTATTTTATTTTCGCCTTCAGTTTCCGATTTATGTCTACTTAGAATATGGGCATTTAAATTAATCACTTTGGCAGTCATAAATTCGCAAAAATTACATCTCAGATATTTATCTTTACCGTGAATTTTTAAATGTGTAATCAAATTACCTTTATGTCTAGTCACAAAAGCACATTGCCCACATTTCCACTGCCCAAGTTTGTCTTTTTTGTGAAGGTGTTTTTTAAAATCACAGATATTTGTAGTTTTATAAGTACAGTGCTGGCAAGAATGCACTTTGGAGGTTATGATACTTCTATTGGATTCGTTCAACATATCTGAATGCTTGATTAGAATGTGGTTGTCCAAATTGTATTTATGGTTACTTTCTTTTGGACAAAACAAACATTTAAATTCTTTTGTTTTATCATGGATTTTTATGTGATTTTTTAAGTGAAATTTATGAATTGTTTTGTATTGGCAAACGTGACATTCATATTGTTGTAGGTTTTTCAATTTCAGGCAAACCTTTATGTGACTTTCATAGCTTGCTTTATAAACAGCTGAGTATGAACAATTGGAACACTGGTAGATTTTACTGGTTATTTTTATTTTATTTTCGCCTTCATTTTCCGATTTGTGCCTACTTATAATATGGGCATTTAAATTAGTCAATTTGGTAGTCGTAAACTCGCAGAAATTACATCTCAAAGATTTTTCTTTATCGTGAATTTTTAAATGTACATTTAAATTACCTCTATGCGCAGTCACAAAAGCACAATGCCCACATTTCAACTGCTTCAGTTTGTCTTTTTCATGAACGTACTTTTTATGATAAGCCAAACCCACCCTTGTCTTATATTTCTTAGGACAAATGTCACAGTCAAACAACTTTACTTCGCCAACTCCAACTCTCGCTTTTAAGCATTCTTTCTCGCGACTTAAACCTAATTGTCTCTTGCACTCATGGCCTGGATTTTTTTCGAAACCTGAAAGAAAATTTATTCATAAACATTGAAGAAAGGTTTTAAACGGTTTTGAGGATCAGGAGAGCAGAGGTTACGTCATCTATTGAAGTGGCTGCGCAGAATCCAATAGGGTGTTTTGTTTTTTATGTAATATATACAGGGTGATTCGCCCAACTTATTATTGTTCTTTCTAAAACTTTTCCGCACTCGCCATACGTATAAAACATGTTTAGAATATATTGATTAGTGTAATTATTATCACCCATTGTAGCAGAATTGTCAGAGACGTTGACATTGACATAACTTTATAAATACGAAATAAAAGACAATCCAACGGACACTGCTGATATTACAAATAAAAAAATAAGCGGTTTATTCACATTTTTTGTAATATCTCTGTAAATATTTATTTTAGGTATACGCAATGCTGCAGCAATTCAATAGAAAACATTATTTTGTGTCAAATGGTGGGAAAATTGAATGGTAGTTTCGTTTGAAATAATAAAGTTATTGGTATTTAAAGTGACAAAAAAGTCAACGTAAATACCAGACACCCTGTATAAAATTTTCAAATACTATTAATAGCTTTCGTTAGATTGCTCCTTAGTTAACAGGTACTCCATAAATTAACTTTTTAACATTACAATCTGTCAACATTTTTGAAAAAAAAATGAATATCTCAAAAACTGTTAAAAATTTAAGAAAATAATAAAATGTTGGTGTTTCTAGAATTTTACGTAGAATTTAAAAATGCCATAAATCCAAAATTGATATCACTTCCGGTTTAACCGGAAGTGCTAACGCATTAAAAATAATTTAAAAAAATAATTTACATTGGCTTATAATTGCTATATACATTTTAAATCGATATATTTTTCCGTTCTCCATAAACTTCTAATGAATAAGTTAGGTGAATCACCCTGTATATACAAAAAATAGAGTCAATTTTTAACATTTAAACAAAATCGAACAATCTTTTTTTTTCTTGTCCGCATGTAAGTTTTTCCAGGTACTGTGGAAAAGTTTAAATTAAAAAAAAACACTTACCTTTTTCTTCTGTTTTCAACGGTGTTTCTTTATTTACAACTTCACTGTCGGCCCTACAAAAACATTTAATTTAACATTTCCACACTGATATTAAGTATACTACTTTTTGACGTCAAATTGATAGGTGCCTATTTAAAGAGTGCCAAGAGGGCAGTATCAACTTAAAAATTGCTTGTGATACCTCATTTAAAAGGTATTTCGATTCTCTATTCAACGCTTATCTAAAATCTAAACCCTGTTCAATGGTTGTTAAGATATTAAACTTTTAAATAAAATTATCAAATCAAATTTTTGTTTATATTTATTAAGTACAAGGTTATCATTTATTAAGTACAATAAATTTCCAATTGGTCATTAAATTAGGTGTTCAAAATGCTCTCCTTGGAAATTTTATTTTTGTTTTACGTGTAAAAATAAAAATTTATCTAAATTTTTTACAAATTTGTAATTTTTTCGCCTACTAGATTTTAAGTTACACCGCCATCTTTCGATTTTCCTATGGGCACCATATTGGAATTTTACATGGTTGGATAGAAAAAAATCAAGAAATTCAACAATGTATCAAACTACAAAAGTTCTGGCGACCATTATAAAAACAAAAGATGGTGATGGTAACTCGAAATATAGAGAAGAAATTGTATGAATTAATGTGTGTTTACCAGTGTTGCCAGCCCTAGGAAAATTTCACTAGTCTAGGGAATTTTCAGCACCTATAGATACTAAAAGATTTTTTTTAACCTTAGGGCGATTGCACGCGTTACTGATGGGACAACTATTTTTTGATATTTGTCGCTATAAGTAATGGGCTAAGAACGGTAATATTTGGGTAACTATTAAAGCTAGAGTTTGTGTAAAATTTTCGGTATCAGAGCTATTAAAATGTTTTTTATTTTACGAACTAGAAATCAATTAAATGTTGTTACTGATGGGACAGGAAAAAGGTCAAAAAAATTTCTGGTTACTAGAAGAGAATAATTCTCTGAAACAGAATAATGTTGAAGAAAAGTATAGGTGAACCAAGTTGCAGATACAGTTAGTATAACTTATTATGACATCACTCATCTTTCATTGTAATCTGTGTAGGCAAGGCATTTTTATTTCTCGTTACTGACGGGACATTACTGATGGGACATTTATTATTATTATTTATTATACACTGAAACAAATGTTTAATTGGTTAATTTAACTAAATAACTTCAACAATAATAATTATTGTTGAAGTTATTTAGTTAAATTAACCAATTAAACATTTGTTTCAGTGTATAATAAATAATAATAAATGTCCCATTATTTTAACATGATAATAACAACTGCAAAAAAATTTAAAAGCATTTGAACAAATTTGATTTTTCGGATTCATAGTGCATATGAGTACCATCAACAAACTTAAAATAGTGTGAACTTAATATCTCGGGTATTGCTGAAACACCTGACCATTTGGCATCTAATTGTGTCTTGATTTGTTCAATTTCCTCATTCTTTACGTATATATTAGTAATGTTTTTCAGAACTTTTGCACAGTTGAAAAAATCGGTTGCACTGCTCTTGATCTCATTCCACACCTAAAATAGTTTTTCATTTTTGGTTTCTTGAAACTTATTACACTTGTGCGGCAAAATTTATACCCTAATTGTTAGCAAAAATTAGGGAAAGCAGCTATTAAGAAAACCAGAAAAGCCAGTTATTTTATTTTTTTTGTTTTTCGTTTACGTACATACCTTTCTTTTCACAGTTGCGCCAACGCCGTCAACAGCTCCTTTCCCTATTTCTATTTCTTTGCACTCCGGACATTCATTCATCATACAATTTTCTCTTTCGACGTCACAGGTTATCTCAGAAATCAGCTTTTTATGATCATCCGGAAATGCTTTAAAGCGTTTGCTAAACGCTTCCAAAATAAATAAAATGTTTGAATGATATTTGCAAACACAGACGTTGTGAGGAGTGTCACTGATTGGCAAAACGAACGCAGGCCTTAACTCATAAAATTTGCGTATTTGAATTTTCGTTTCGGGATTTTCTTCTTGGAAAATTGTGTACGCCTCTTTAATTGTGTAGACCATGTGCCGTTTTTGAGCATATTCAATAATAGATCCATTTGTCTTTATTTTCACACGATCTTTTAATCCAGGAGAAACTCTACTTATATCCTCTTTGATATAAAAACTTTTCACTTTTTCAACTATTTCTGGGGACAATTTATTCCACGGATTCATTGTTCGTGTCTGCCCTTCTTACAGCTTTTCCTAAAGTTTGTGGAGTTTTGAAGGGTATATTCTTAACAGTTTGCTGCTTTTTATTTTCTCTAAACATTCTTTTTCTTTCTCTTTCATTAATTTTTTGCTGCATTTTAAACGTACTATCATTTTCCGCCAACTTTTTTAATTTTTCTCTGTACTTTTTTGCGCTTGAAGCATTTTTAGACAGGTAAGTCTTTTTTAAAACAGGATTTTCATAAATTTTTTTGCGATATTTTTTAACCCGCCGCTTCGTATTTTCTTTGTCAAGCACCTTTTTTTTTGCCATCCTAAAAATTATCACATTTCGTTACTGACGGGACCAACTTTAAAAGAAAGAAATACAAAAATCTGGGACAGCAAACCAATATATTTTTATCGCGTAAGCAAATGTGACATAGGGACAAACATTTTTATTATTAATCAAAAACTGGGCAAGTTGCATACTTGCGATATTAAAACTTATCATATTATTTCGTTACTGATGGGACAAATATACAATAATATTATAAATTAAAATTTCTATAACAGTTTACTTACTTGCAAAAAAAATATTCAGGAATATTTTCACTAATAGTGGAGTCTAATCAAAACTGACGTTTTCGGAAACGTCACTTACTGTTATAGGTCAAAGCCACCTTAATAAAAATGCTACTTTGCATATAAATTTTAACATCGGAAAATCGCTTATTTTTGACCATATTTTATTATAAATAATAAGTACCTGAGATAAACATTTTTAGTTTTTTCAACTAATTTCACCATTAATGAATAACTTTGGTATATTTTTGTTTCATTGTGCCCTGCTTAAAACTGATGGAAAAAATTACATTGCGCTTGCAATCGCCCCTTAGGAAATTTCTTCTTAGTTTCTTAAAAAGGTATTAAAATTTCTTGACAAGAAACTTATTAAAAACAAAACAATAAACATAATTTATATTGGTAGGTCTATTGATATTGTTTGATATTTTGACAAACTATTTGAAGTTCCAAGCCAATCACGACTTTTATTTAAATGACTCACATGATCTTGTGAAAATCGCACTTAATTTCTAAAAAATTCTCGAATTAAAAAAATCCTAGGGAAAAATCGGATAAACTAGGAAGAAATTACCATAACCCTAGGGATATCTTGAAAAAAACGTTGTCAACTCTGATGTTTATATGTAAAACATACTTGTTTTAAAATACCCAGGAATAACGAATTTAACGATTTTTGAGTTTAAAAGGTTTTTTTGCACTTTTTCAAATATTTTGAGAACCAATTAAATCTCTAAAACCACAATATTGACAAATTTTAAAAAATCAATATCACAAAATTGTAATAATAGGGGTTTTGAGCCATAACACATTACCAATTTCATTAACAAGTACTTACCCTGATTCATAACATTCCAAACCATGATATTCCACCTCGATTTTTGACTCAATCATGGCTTCATCTTCATCTTTTTCTTCTTTGTTTGACAAATTTTTATCATCTTCTTCAGAAAAGTCACTGTACCTTTCTTCTTCCTTAATATTGCATAAGAAATCTTCAATTTCATGATCAAAATCTTCACTTTCTTCATCACTATCATTGGTTTTAGTTCTTACATAGTACATCATTGAACCTAGGCTAAAATGGCATTTATTTAATGATAAATTTATTTAATATATTGCTATATTTACATGGAAAAAAAGTATAAAATATTATTACACACTATTTTTAATTAAAGAACAAAAAAAACACAAAATAAACAACAACAAAACAATAAAAACAAGCCAATTTTACAAGTGAGGTTAAAAACGTCTGACACATGTAAAATTTTATGATTGCTCAAAATCAAAGTGAATAATGAAATGCGCTTACTGATGTTTGCAACAGTGTATTAATGCATGGGCTGAATAAAGCTTCAAGTTAAAATTGGGAAAAAGTGAGGTTAAAAGCATTTGACAGATGTCAGATTCGGAAAAAGAGAGGTTAAGACCGCTTGACATCTGTCAGTTTCAATAATTTACTTTTTTTAATTAAGTTCCTAAAATAGGGTAAATAGTTTATTTTGTATCAAGTTTGGAATACGGCATATGCAATTGCAAACGTGTTTCAGACTATACTTTTTCTACGTTTCCAAAAAATACCATAGAAAAATAATTTAATTAGGAGAAAGTGAGGTTGGATAGGTCTAAAATTTGTTAGATATTTAACACAGAGATGTCGCCACCAGTGTTTATTCCGTCACCCTATGATAGATTAATTCATTCTGTAATACTTTAAGGAATATGTCATTCAACATTAAAAAGTGATATTAGAACGGTCATATTCCATAATAGGAGTAGAAAAATATTTATATTCTTTTTTTTAATTATATTAAATAATACTTAATAATAATAATAATAATGTATTTAAAAAAATTATAATTCTGGTTTTTGTCTTATATTGCAATAAAAAAAATTACAAAAAAAATTCATTCATGTTTTTCAATATTGGAATTATTGTAAATGTTTCTGATATATTGATGGATTAAAAATAGATGCATCATAATATATTATATAGAATTTTGTGCATCCCCAGTTTTGAGACAGGAAGGAGAATGCTACATGTAGGAATTCTAGGTTAAAAGTGTTGTTGCATGTCCACTGTTAAACAACTGTTGCCATGGTGATAATGCAATAAACAGCAGCAATGCTTACCCTTTGTTGAGCAACACTTCATCATCATCTGATTCTTTGATTTCATGTTTTACTGCTATCCCAGACGATGAAGGCATTTCTTGGTCAGCTGATGTACTTTGTATATCGTACTTCAGCAAAATATCACCTACGGAATCGTCGACTAGTTCTTCAGGTTCTATTTTAACGACTATTTGTTCCATTGTGTATGAAAACTGTACAACTTACATTTAATGATTACAGAATAGTCGTGTTTACTCCAAATACTTTGGCAATCTGTAAAAACAATAGAAAACCTTTATAAACCCTAAAACAACGTGTTTAACGTATATTTACCTTAACAGTATTTGTAATACAAACTTTGTATGCCCTCTTTGCAAGTAATTGGCGCCAACGATCTGTATTTTGTCAGTGATTTGGCGTAAACAAAAAATATTAACCTCACTTTTTGCGAATCTAAGATCCATTGTACAGGTTTTAGATTTTTTTATACACAGTGACTAGAGGCACGCTAACGTACCGCGATTGGAAATATTAAAGGCACGTTAGTTACGTCATAATTATAATCCGTTTTTGTTCCCTGTCCATTTAATATTTGACATCAAGCTAAATAGCTTATATGGTAGGGCGTTCGCTTGGCATGCGAGAGGTCCGGGGTTCGAAACCAAGTAGCTGTCGAATTTTTTTTATTTTTTTATTTCATAAATTTGTTGTTTCTTTGTTAAACAGTGTTCGGTTGGGTTGGGTTGGTTGGTTTGTTTTAGTTTTATCGTAACATAAAATCTACTAGAAGTTGTCGAACTTTTCTTATTTCATAAATATGTTGTTCCTTTGTTAAAAAGTGTTTTATTTTTATCGTAACATAAATTTGCCCATTTTAGTTGGGTTTTTTGTTCAATGGGGCGGGGGGGGGCCAATGGGGCGGGGTCGGTTGGGTTGTGTTGTTGAGTTTGGGATGGTTTGAGTTTATGACGTAACTAACGTGCCTTTAACATTTCAAATCGCGGCACGTTAACGTGCCTGTAGTCACAGCGTTTTTTATATTGAGTGGGTAAATAAAAACAATTAAAAAGATGATAAAAATTTATTAAAAATTACAGAAACATTAGAATTAAGTTTGAAAAACTTAAATTTGTAATAATTTATTTTATTTAAACTAAGTTGGCAACAGTGAAGCCCACAGAGCCATCTGTTTTTATTTAAGTAAACTGCAAAGCTGTCGGTAATGAAGTTATTATCGACCTAAGGTTTTAGATTTGAAGTTGTTGTAAAAAAACATTCTATATTTTAAATACACCCTAATTTTTTAACGAATTTTTTTTTACAGTTTCTTTACCGAAATCGATGAGACCCTTATTTTTTCTTTTTGCTTAAATTTGTTTTGTTTATCATTGGAAAATTTTTGAAAAATTGACAGAAACATCGATTTTTCTCTTTTTATTGAAAATGCGATAACTACATAAAAAAATATAAAAAAATAAGTGAATATACAAAATTTCTTTTTTAATTGTATTTCTAAAAAATACAACAAAAAATTGCAGTTGCACAAGGTCAAAATTTTGACATGGCCACATTTTTTACTTCATATTTTTTTCGTTTGAAGTTAATAAGTTAATTTTTTTTATCTGGACTGCGGAAACGTTGCATATTTAAGGTTTTGGTTGGTAAATACAGATGACAAGTTGGTCGCATTGATTAAAACAAACTAAGCTAGTTATAAATCTAATTGTGGTTATGTATAAATTATTGTGGGTTACTTTGTGCAGTTGTCAAGTTGAGTTGTCGAAATTCGTAGTTAAAAATGCAATTAATTTGGCTTTGGTGGTGCTTGGATGAGTAAAATCATATAAAAAAAGTAGTTAAATATAGGTTGCTTTACGGCCCAGAAGAGAAAGTATTCCTAGCGGATAATAATCTTCGTTTTGAAAAGAATTTATATAAAAAAAATTAAAATTTTTTGTGAACGTAAATGTTGTCCAATGGTGAATAATGTGAAAATAATGTGTGATGAAATATTTATAAAACCAAATTCGTTACTCTAAAAATGTTCATAAGGCGATGTACTTTTTCTTCCATTGTGGCATTTGGCATAATTTCACCAAAATGACGTTTTGCCCTCAAAAGGGCTTTTACATTCGAATTCGTTGCTATTATTTTTGGCATAATTATCTTTTTATTTATAATTCACAAGTAAATTATCAATAATAAATATTATTGTCAATTTGACAGTGTCAAAGTATTTAATTAAATTCTTTAGCAGAAGTACCATTTTTAAATACTAAAAATACTAAGTCAAACTGGCATAAGCCACCAACCTAACAAAAAAACACGAGTCCAGATAAAAAAAATTAACTGTAATATGAACAACTTTTACCAATTGTCCCGAGTTGGCTAAATTTGTCGTTTCGGAATTGAATCGTCTAATTTCAAAAGCGGCCATCTCCAATTTTTTTTTAATGAGTTATTTACACTAATAAAATCGAAATATTACGTAGTATATTAGTGCAAAAAAACGGCTATTTGCAAGGAAAATAATTCATTAAAGTTTTATGTTAGTTTTAATAAAGGCCATCTCCATTGATGTTTTAAGTACAAAATGTACTTAAAATGCCCATTTCCCTTTTGAAATATATGTTTTTTTAATTAAAACTTAAATCTGGTTACTTATTTTGTAGAAAAAATATTTTTAGTTACCATATGAACAAGTTTTTCAAAATATATTTATTTTTTACCCATGTTTTTTGACGTTTACTTAAAATATTCTTCAAAGGAGATGGCCGCTTTTGAAATTAGACGATTCAATTATTATTTTTTTAATGAAAATGCCATTTTCTGGTAAATTCGTAGTTCACCGTAAAAATTTGGTATTTTATTAACTAGGGTGTCCTTTATAAAGTGTAATTTATAACTTTTTGACATATTTTGGTCACTTCCGGTTTCAACGGAAATGGTCTTGATATAAATTTCCTATGGGTGAACAAAACAAGTTTAAGCAAAAAGAAAAAATACGGGTCTCATCGACTTTGGTGGAGAAACTGTAAAAAAATTTCGTTGAAAAATAACGACCTACCCCTTTTGCCTGGTCGATTTGCCATGGAAAGACCCATAAATAATATTTATTGAGTATGGCGATTTATGTGTTTTTTTAAATCACCGATATTTGTAGTTTTGTAATTACAGAGGTGGCAGGAATGCACTTTGGAGGTTATGATACTTCTATTGGATTCGTTCAATAAATGTGAATGCTTGGTCAAAATGTGGCCGTCCAAATTGTATTTATGGTTACTTTCTTTTGGACAAAACAAACATTTAAATTCTTTTGTTTTGTTATGGATTTTCATGTGTTTTTTTAAGCCAAATTTATGAATGGTTTTGTAGTGACAAAGGTGACATTCATATTGTTGTACGTTTTCCAATTTTAGGCAAACCTTTATGTGAGCGTCATAGCTCGATTTATAAACAGCTGAGTATGAACAATTGGAACACTGGTAGATTTTACTGGTTATTTTTATTTTATTTTCGCCTTTATTTTCCGATTTATGCCTACTTATAATATGGGCATTTAAATAATACAATTTGGTAGTCATAAACTCGCAGAAATTACACCTCAAATATTTTTCTTTGTCGTGAATTTTTAAATGTACATTTAAATTACTTCTATTGGCAGTCACAAAAGCACAATGCCCACATTTCAACTCCTTCAGATTGTCTTTTTCATGAACGTACTTTTTATGACAAGTCAAACTCCTTCTTGTCTTATATTTCTTAGGACAAATGTCACATTCAAACAACTTTACTTCGCCAACTCCAACTCTCGCTTTTAAGCATTCTTTCTCGCGACTTAAACCTAATTGTCCCTTGCACTCGTAGCCTGGATTTTTTTCGAAGCCTAAAAGAAAATTTATTCATAAACATTGAAGAAAGGTTTTAAAATTTTGAGGATCAGAAGAGCAGAGGTTACGTCATTTATTGAAGTGGCTGCGCAGAATCCAATAGGGTGTTTTGTTTTTTATGTAATATATACAGGGTGATTCACCCAACTTACTCTTGTTCTTTCTAAAACTTTTCCGCACTCGCCATATGTATAAAACATGTTTAAAATATATTAATTAGTGTAATTATTATCACCCATTGCAGCACAATTGTCAAAGACGTTGACATTGACATAACTTTATAAATACGATATAAAAGACAATCCAACGCACACTACTGATATTACAAATAAAAAAATAAGCGGTTTTTTCACATTTTCTGTAATATCTCTGTAAATATTCATTTTAATAGGCAATGCTGCAGCATTTCAATGGAAATCATTATTTTGTGTCAAATGGTAGGAAAATGGTATGGTAGTTTCGTTTGAAATAAGAAAGTTATTGGTATTTAAAGTGACAAAAAAGTCAACGTAAATACCAGACACCCTGTATAAAATTTTCAAATACTATTAATGGCTTTCGATAGATTGCTCCTTAGTTAACAGGTACCCCATAAATTAACTTTTTAACATAACAATCTGTCAAAATTTTTGAAAAAAAATGAATATCTCAAAACCTGTTCAAAAATTTAAAAAAATGTTGGTATTTCTAGAATTTTACGTAGAATTTAAAAATGCCATAAATCCAAAATTGATATCACTTCCGGTTTAACCGGAAGTGATAACGCATTAAAAATAATTTTTAAAAATAGTTTACATTGGCTTATAATTGCTATATACATTTTAAATTGATATATTTTTCCGTTCTCCATAAACTTCTAATGAATAAGTTAGGTGAATCACCCTGTATATACAAAAAATAGAGTCAATTTTTAACATTTAAACAAAATCAAACAATCTTTTTTTTTTCTTGTCCGCATGTAAGTTTTTCCTACTGTGGAAAAGTTTAAATTAAAAAAAAAACACTTACCTTTTTCTTCTGTTTTCAACGGTGTTTCTTTATTTACAACTTCACTGTCGGCCCTACAAAATATTTAATTTAACATTTCCACACTGATATTAAGTATACTACTTTTTGACGTCAAATTGATAGGTGCCTATTTAAAGAGTGCCAAGAGGGCAGTATCAACTTAAAAATTGCTTGTGATACCTCATTTTAAAGGTATTTCGATTCTCTATTCAATGCTTATCTAAAATCTAAAACCTGTTTAATGGTTGCTAAGATATTAAACGTTTAAATAAAATTATCAAATCAAATTTTTGTTTATATTTATTAAGTACAAGGTTATCATTTATTAAGTACAATAAATTTCCAATTGGTCATTAAATTAGGTGTTCAAAATGCTCTCCTTGGAAATTTTAATTTTGTTTTACGTGTAAAAATAAAAATTTATCTAAATTTTTTACAAATTTGTAATTTTTTCGCCTACTAGATTTTAAGTTACACCGCCATCTTTCGTTTTTCCTATGGGCACCATATTGGAATTTTACATGGTTGGATAGAAAAAAATCAAGAAATTCAACAATGTATCAAACTACAAAAGTTCTGGCGAAAATTATAAATACAAAAGATTTTGACAAATAAATTGTATGAATTAATGTGTGTTTACCAGTGTTGCCAACCCTAGGAAAATTTCACTAGTCTAGGGAATTTTCAGCACCTATTATAGGTACTAAAAGATTTTTTTTAAACCTTACGAAATTTCTTCTTAGTTTCTTAAAAAGGTATTAAAATTTATTAAAAACGAAACAATAAACATAATTTATATTGGTAGGTCTATTGATATTGTTTGATATTTTGACCAACTATTTGAAGTTCCAAGCCAATCACGACTTTTATTTAAATGACTCACATGATCTTGTCAAAATCGCATTTAATTTCTAAAAAATTCTCCAATTCAAAAAATCCTAGGGAAAAATCGGATAAACTAGGGAGAAATCACCATAACCCTAGGGATATCTTGAAAAAAACGTTGTCAACTCTGATGTTTATATGTAAAACATACTTGTTTTAAAATACCCAGGAATAACGAATTTAACGATTTTTGAGTTTAAAAGGTTTTTTGCACTTTTTCAAATATTTTGAGAACCAATTAAATCTCTAAAACCACAATATTGACAAATTTTAAAAAATCAATATCACAAAATTGTAAAAATAGGGGTTTTGAGCCATAACACATTACCAATTTCAATAACAAGTACTTACCCTGATTCATAACATTCCAAACCATGATATTCCACCTCGATTTTTGACTCAATCATGGCTTCATCTTCATCTTTTTCTTCTTTGTTTGACAAATTTTTATCATCTTCTTCAGAAAAGTCACTGTACCTTTCTTCTTCCTTAATATTGCATAAGAAATCTTCAATTTCATGATCAAAATCTTCACTTTCTTCATCACTATCATTGGTTTTAGATCTCACATAGTACATCATTGAACCTAGGCTAAAATGGCATTTATTTAATGATAAATTTATTTAATATATTGCTATATTTACATGAAAAAAAAGTATAAAATATTATTACACACCATTTTTAATTAAAGAACAAAAAAACACAAAATAAACAACAACAAAACAATAAAAACAAGCCAATTTCACAAGTGAGGTTAAAACCGTCTGACACATGTCAAATTTTATGATTGCTCAAAATCAAAGTGAATAATGAAATGCGCTTACTGATGTTTGCAACAGTGTATTAATGCATGGGCTGAATCAGGGTGGAAGAAGGAGGTGATATCGCTTCTATCTCTAAAGTACCGAAGCAGCGTCCACATAAGTCAGTATTTCGTTCGTTGTTCGTTAGATGGCGTGTCAAATAAGAATCTAAGGTTTTACCAACGAAATCCATATATTCTATAACAACTTAACTTTTAACAACAAATTATAAGATAACCAAAACTCAAGGAGAGTCTTCTACCTTCCTTAACGAAAATTACATCTTTTTTTACAGCATTATTATAATAATTTGCAGAACGATTGGCAATACTGTAGTATTGCCAACTGTTCTGCCAAAATGCACAGTCGCCACAAACGCACAAAAGTGACGTTGAAATGGTTTTATTTGAATTTTAATTAAGCTTAGTGGTCTATTCTTTAAAGTTAATCAATGCAATTTTACTAAAAATGGGAAAAGTTTGTTGTGCACCAGGATTAAAACAGGTTCCACTTCAATGCGCCATCTATACATACATTTAATAAATACTGACTTATCTGGCCGCCTTCAACGACGGAGTTGAATCACCTCCTTCTTCCACCCTGGGCTGAATAAAGCTTCAAGTTAAAATTGGGAAAAAGTGAGGTTAAAAGCATTTGACAGATGTCAGATTCGGAAAAAGAGAGGTTAAGACCGCTTGACATCTGTCAGTTTCAATAATTTACTTTTTTTAATTAAGTTCCTAAAACAGGGTAAATATTTTATTTTGTATCAAGTTTGGAATACGGCGTATGCAATTGCAAACGTGTTTCAGACTATACTTTTTCTACGTTTCCAAAAAATAACATAGAAAAATAATTTAATTAGAAGAAAGTGAGGATCAGTGCTGCCTGAGCAGATGGTCATCTATGGGATAATCCGTATATATTCGTGGAAAGGGTGGGGGGAAGCCTCGAAAAATCCGTAAAAATCCGTTTTTGTCTAAATTTCGAAAAATTTCTTCTATAAGGGGGATTTTCGTGACAAAACATACCTTTCGTCAAAGAAAATCCGAAACATCTCAGAATTTTTCGGGGGAGTTTCAGAAGTTTGAACCTCTTCGTCAGTGATATAATTCTCGTCACTTTCCATTTTTCACAAAATAAAGTATTTTATATACAGATTCGGATATATAATAAACATTGACTTTGAGATCAAAATATTGCCACAATGCAGTTCAATGCACTGAACTGGAGTCAGTATTGGTTAGTCGTTACTATTGGTGGCATTGCGCCGCTTATATATTGGCAGCAATAACGTGTTATAAAACCTTAACAAATGATATGAAACTATCGTTCTCTTTGTCACACTCAATGAAAAAGCATATGTTTCGCATATATTCGGCGTTTAAGAACCCTATATTAAGAACACATCCTTTTTCAATCCGCTTTCTTTTTCTGTCTAACGTAGTAAAAAGGAAGAGGAATAGAAGCGTGACAAAGATGATCAAAAAACGGGGCAAAATGATGTTTTTTTAGTATTAGTATGAAGCTATCTTAAAAATCCGTAAAAATCCGTATTTGATGAAAATCCGTTCAAAATCCGTTTCCAATTTCTCTAGACCTGGAAAATCCGTAAAAAACGGATAAATCCGTTCATCTGGCAGCACTGGTGAGGATGGATAGGTCTAAAATTTGTTAGATATTTAACACAGAGATGTCGCCACCAGTGTTTATTCCGTCACCCTATGATAGATTAATTAATTCTGTAATACTTTAAGGAATATGTCATTCACCATTAAAAAGTGATATTAGAACGGTCATATTCCATAATAGGAGTAGAAAAATATTTAAATTCTTTTTTTTAATTATATTAAATAATAATAATAATAATGTATTTAAAAAAATTATAATTCTGGTTTTTGTCTTATATTGCAATAAAAAAAATTACAAAAAAAATTCATTCATGTTTTTCAATATTGGAATTATTGTAAATGTTTCTGATATATTGATGGATTAAAAATAGATATATAGAATTTTGTGCATCCCCAGTTTTGAGACAGGAAGGAGAATGCTACATGTAGGAATTCTAGGTTAAAAGTGTTGTTGCATGTCCACTGTTAAACAACTGTTGCCATGGTGATAATGCAATAAACAGCAGCAATGCTTACCCTTTGTTGAGCAATACTTCATCATCATCTGATTCTTTGATTTCATGTTTTACTGCTATCCCAGACGATGAAAGCATTTCTTGGTCAGCAGATGTACTTGGTATATCGTACTTCAGCAAAATATCACCTACGGAATCGTCGACTAGTTCTTCAGGTTCTACTTTAACGACTATTTGTTCCATTGTGTATGAAAACTCTATAACTCACAGTTAATGATTACAGAATAGTCGTGTTTACTCCAAATACTTTGGCAATCTGTAAAAACAATAGAAAACCTTTATAAACCCTAAAACAACGTATTTAACGTATATTTACCTTAACAGTGTTTGAAATACAAACTTTGTATGCCCTCTTTGCAAGTAATTGGCGCCAAACGCCAATCAACGATCTGTATTTTGTCAGTGATTAGGCGTAAACAAAAAATATTAACCACACTTTTTGCCAATCTAACATCTACTGGACAGGTTTTAGATAAAACAAATTATAATTTTTTTTATATTGAGTGGGTAAATAAAAACAATTAAAAAGATGATAAAAATTTATTAAAAATTACAGAAACATTAGAATTAAGTTTGAAAAACTTAAATTTGTAATAATTTATTTTATTTAAACTAAGTTGGCAACAGTGAAGCCCACAGAGCCATCTGTTTTTATTTAAGTAAACTGCAAAGCTGTCGGTAATGAAGTTATTATCGAACTAAGGTTTTAGATTTGAAGTTGTTGTAAAAAAACATTCTAATTTTTTTTTACAGTTTCTTTACCGAAATCGATGAGACCCTTATTTTTTCTTTTTGCTTAAATTTGTTTTGTTTATCATTGGCAAAATTTTTGAAAAATTGACAGAAACATCGATTTTTCTCTTTTTATTGAAAATGCGATAACTACATAAAAAAATATAAAAAAATAAGTGAATATTCAAAATTTCTTTTTTAATTGTATTTCTAAAAAATACAACAAAAAATTGCAGTTGCACAAGGTCAAAATTTTGACATGGCCACATTTTTTTACTTCATATTTTTTTCGTTTGAAGTTAATAAGTTCATTTTTTTTTATCTGGACTGCGGAAACGTTGCATATTTAAGGTTTTGGTTGGTAAATACAGATGACAAGTTGGTCGCATTGATTAAAACAAACTAAGCTAGTTATAAATCTAATTGTGGTTATGTATAAATTATTGTAGGTTACATTGTGCAGTTGTCAAGTTGAGTTGTTGAAATTCGTAGTTAAAAATTCAATTAATTTGGCTTTGGTGGTGCTTGGATGAGTAAAATCATATAAAAAAGTAGTTAAATATAGGTTGCTTTACGGCCCAGAAGAGAAAGTATTCCTAGCTGATAATAATCTTCGCTTTAAAAGAATTTATATAAAAGAAATTAAAATTTTTTGTAAACGAAAATGTTGTCCAATGGTGAATAATGTGAAAATAATGTGTGATGTAATATTTATAAAACCAAATTCGTTACTTTTTTACTCCAAAAATGTCCATAAGGCGATGTACTTTTTCTTCCATTGTGGCATTTGGCATAATTTCACCAAAATGACGTTTTGCCCTCAAAAGGGCTTACATTCAAATTCGTTGATATTATTTTTGGCATAATTATCTTTTTATTTATAATTGACAAGTAAATTATCAATAATAAATATTATTGTCAATTTGACAGTTTCAAAGTATTTAATTAAATTCTTTAGCAGAAGTACCATTTTTAAATACTAAGTCAAACTGGCATAAGCCACCAACCTAACAAAAAAACACGAGTCCAGATAAAAAAAATGAAATCTAATATGAACAACTTTTACCAAAAGTCCCGAGTTGGCTAAATTTGTCGTTTCGGAATTGAATCGTCTAATTTCAAAAGCGGCCATCTCCAATTTTTTTTAAATGAGTTATTTACACTAATAAAATATTACGTAGTATATTAGTGCAAAATTATATCCCAACAAAAACGGCTATTTGCAAGGAAAATAATTCATTAAAGTTTTATGTTAGTTTTAATAACGGCCATCTCCATTGATGTTTTAAGTACAAAAATGTACTTAAAATGCCCATTTCCCTTTTGAAATATATGTTTTTTTAATTAAAACTTAAATCTGGTTAGGTACTTATTTACTACCTTACTAGAAAACTTAATTTTCCACCCCCGAGCGAGGGAGGAAAATGGCTCTTTTCCTCCCCGGGAGGAAAAAAAATTTCCTCCCTCTTTTTTTTTTAAATTTATATTGGCAAGAGTTTTTGTACCTTGTCTAGCTTTATTTGATTTTGTAGGAAAAAGATTTACTCCGCGCTTGTCCAACCATTCTTTTAACAAACTATATTCATATTCACTATTTTAGATTTTTAAGGAAGGAAATTAATTGCAACTATTAAACTTATGATAAACATTATGACAGCTTATAAAAACTGTTATGTTGGTATTACCAAAAATACCATAGCAACAAAGCGTTGTCAACATAACGTCGGCGACGCAAAACCTACTTAATATTTTGTCATAATTTTATAGCCCCATACCGGGTAAGTAAAAGGAACCGGAACGCTTAAAATGTCTTAAAACCGTTAAAAGGTAATAGAAAAAACTATATACATACCTCAGGAGGAAAATGCATTTCCTCCCTTGAATATTTAATGCCCTTCGCTTCGCGTCGGGCATCAAACTATTCGCGGGAGGAAATGCAATATTTTCCTCCCATGGTATGTAAATAGCTATTGGTTGCTTTCTTTCGGACAAAACAAACATTTAAATTCTTTTGTTTTGTTATGGATTTTCATGTGTTTTGTTAAGTCAAATTTATGAATAGTTTTGTATTGGCAAACATGACATTCATATTGTTGTACGTTTTCCAATTTTAGGCAAACCTTTATGTGAGCGTCATAGCTCGATTTATAAACAGCTGAGTATGAACAATTGGAACACTGGTAGATTTTACAGGTTATTTTTATTTTATTTTCGCCTTTATTTTCCGATTTATGCCTTATGCTTTATAATATGGGCATTTAAATAATACAATTTGGTAGTCATAAACTCGCAGAAATTACATCTCAAATATTTTTCTTTGTCGTGAATTTTTAAATGTACATTTAAATTACTTCTATTGGCAGTCACAAAAGCACAATGCCCACATTTCAACTGCTTCAGATTGTCTTTTCCATGAATATACTTTCTATGATAAGCCAAACCTCCCCTGTTCTTATATTTCTTAGGACAAATGTCGCATTCAAACAACTTTACTTCGCCAACTTCAACTCTCGCTTTTAAGCATTCTTTCCCGCGACTTAAACTTAATTGTCTCTTGCACTCATAGCCTGGATTTTTTTCGAAGCCTGAAAGAAAATTTATTCATAAAAATTGAAGAAAGGTTTTAAACGGTTATGAGGATCAGTAGAGCAGAGGTTACGTCATTTATTGAAGTGGCTGCGCAGAATCCAATAGGGTGTTATGTTTTTTATGTAATATATACAGAGTGATTCACCCAACTTATTCTTGTTCTTTTTAAAACTTTTCCGTACTCGCCATATGTATAAAACATGTTTAGAATATATTGATTAGTGTAATTATTATCACCCATTGCAGCACAATTGTCAGAGACGTTGACATTGACATAACTTTATAAATACGAAATAAAAGACAATCCAACGCACACTACTGATATTACAAATAAAAAAATAAGCGGTTTTTTCACATTTTCTGTAATATCTCTGTAAATATTCATTTTAGGTATAGGCAATGCTGCAGCATTTCAATAGAAAACATTATTTTGTGTCGAATGGTGGGAAAATTGTATGGTAGTTTCGTTTGAAATAAGAAAGTTATTGGTATTTAAAGTGACAAAAAAGTCAACGTAAATACCAGACACCCTGTGTAAAATTTTCAAATACTATTAATGGCTTTCGATATATTGCTCCTTAGTTAACAGGTACCCCACAAATTAACTTTTTAACATAAAAATCTGTCAAAATTTTTGAAAAAAATGAATATCTCAAAACCTGTCAAAAATAAAATAAAAATAATAAAATGTTGGTATTTCTAGAATTTTATGTAGAATTTAAAAATGCAATAAAACCAAAGTTGATATCACTTCCGGTTTAACCGGAAGTGATAACGCATAAAAAATAATTTTAGAAAATAATTTACATTGGCTTATAATTGCTATACAAAGTTTAAATCGATATATTTTTCCATTCTCCATAAACTTCTAATGAATAAGTTAGGTGAATCACCCTGTATATATAAAAAATAGAGTCAATTTTTAACATTTAAACAAAATCGAACAATCTTTATTTTTTTCTTGTCCGCATGCAGAGCTATGGTACTCATTACAAAAAATACTGCAAGTATGGTACTGAGTCCTTTCAGTACTTAAAGTACTCTACTGCCAGTACTTATAAAATCATGTTACTGGTACTGGGATATCAAGTACAATTGGAAAATACTGGTACTGGGTACTGGTTTTTCAGATTTGTATTAAAAAGTAATACTGGATACTTGGAAAAGTACTGGTAATGCGGAAACACTTAAAACGATACTGCCAGTATTTTAATTACTGGAAGGGATGAAAAGGACTGGCAGTACTTTTAGAACATTTCCAGTATTCCAAGAAGTTTAGAAGTTTAAACTCCGGTAATTTAGATAATAATTATTTAGGGAGTAAAAGAGTGAGCATCAAAATAATATTAATAATTATAATACTTGCAGATAAATTAAGATTATGATTGTTTTGCAAAAAATTATAAATAACTAAGTTTCAAAAATTACATCTAAAACTCTAAAATAAGTAAAATTATATTCAAAAATTCATTATAATATGATTATGAATATGATACTGATAATAGGTATCACCAGTACTGAAAATTCTGTAAGTAATAAAAATTACTTGCAGTAATCAAAGTTACTTGCAGTAATCAAAATTACTGGCAGTAATCAAAATTACTTATAAGTATTTAAAACCATAACTTTATGAGTACTTGGTACTGGTACTGGTTTTTTTACAATTTCCAGTGCTTTACTTGATACTGTAAGTACATTTATTAAATACTGGATACTGGTACTGGAAGTAAAATGAAATATTATGATACTGGTTACTGGATACTGACAGTACTATCGTAGGGTACTTGCATGTAACTTTTTTCAGGTACTGTGGAAAAGTTTAAATTAAAAAAACACTTACCTTTTTCTTCTGATTTCGACGG